CCCGAACAAAGCTGAATACCATACATACATACATACATACATATATATATATATACACATACACACACACACACATACACATATACACACATATACATATATTCTTAAGTTTTATATATATATGTGTGTGCATATATATATATATATATATATATATATATATATATATATACACACATGTATGTATGTATATGTATGTAGTCCTCAACTTACAACCACAATTGAGCCCCAATTTCTGCTGCTAAGTGAGACAGTTATTAAGTTAAGTTAGCCCCATTTTATGACCTTTTTTTCCAGTTGCTAAGTCAATAACTAATCACTGTAGTTATTAAGTTAGTAATGCAATTGTTAAGTGAATCTGGCTTCCCCATTGACTTTGCTTGTCAGAAGATCACAAAAAGTGATCATATGACCATGGGACATTGCAACTGCAAGGTTCGTAAAAATGAGTCAGTTGCCAAGCACCTAAATTTTGATCAGGTTGTTGTAATGGCTGTAAATGTGAAAAGTGGTCATAAGTTACTTTTTTCAGTGCTATTGTAACTTTGAAAGGTCACTAAATCAACTGTTGTAAGTTGAGGATTATCTGTATTCAAATTTTAGTGATTGCCTTCAGTGTAAGAGAGTCTAGTTAGTTTATATACATACTGGGTCACCTGGAGGGCCTGGGATTCCTGGCTTTCCATCTCGTCCTGGAATACCCTAAATGTGCATAAAAACAGGGCAGAGTTTGTTGTTGTTGTATTGCTTCTGTTCAAGAAGTTATTACTATCATGTATTTATTAGTACTTACATCAAGGCCAGGAGTTCCAGGAGTCCCAGGTAATCCAGGAGGCCCTCTTGGTCCCTACAGAAGGAACATTTGGAGCATCAGTATCAAGGAAGACTTACACAATAGTAAGCACAATAAAAATATTGACCCAAATTTCATATGAAATATCTTACTTGGAATCCTGGTGTCCCAGGAGGCCCTTTAAGACCCTGAAAAACAAAGCAATGAGTGAATACAATCATCATCATCATCATCCTCATCCTCATCTTCATCTGCGTCAAAAAGGGGGTTATTATTGCTATTGAAAACTTGCCCAAGTAAAAAATCCAATGAGGTTCAGATAGTGCTGGATCTCATGTCTGATTATTCATCAGCACAAATGTTTCACTTAAGGCTGAGATTCTTCTCAGTCAGATCTGTTGATTACAGCAGAATATGATATTGGAAATCATCATAGGAAGCTGCTTTTACCAGTCAGATCATTGTTGAGCCTAATTTAGTACCATCCATTCAGATTGAAAATTTCCCTCAGAGATCTTAGTATGGAGTTTTTCTTGCTCCGCTTAGAGATTCTGCAAATCTTTGCAGTGAGGCACTCTACTCTGAAGACATGGCTCCTTGTAAGTGAGGGAGGAATAAATTTTTTTAACATCCATCTAGCCATCCATCCATCCATCCACCCACCTATGCACTCCTTTCATATGCATCCCTATTAACATTTTACTGTTGAGTAAAGTTTCTCAAGATATTTCTCAAGACCCTTTGTGTAGTTATTAGCAGCTTAGAGGATGAATAATCAAACTCTACAGGCATAGCAAGAAAGCTATCAAAATACCTATAGCCTCAGACCATCTGTCAAAAACCTCTGATAGCAGTTTTTAAAATTATTATTTACTGAGCTATTACTTATTTACATTGACGTGGGATGGTTACAAAAATTCATCTTTTCTTTTAGGGGGTTCTGGAATTTAAGAACCCTTGCTGAAGAGAACAGTTTATTCTCTGATTTAAGACTTAAATGCAAATGTAAAATATACAAAACATGACATTCATAACTGTATAAAATAACAGAGAGAAAAAATTCCAAAACTACTCCACTTCAAATGACATGCTTGGGAGAATAATATGACCCAAAGGCATTTTTATCCTTAAGTAGATATGTGTGGAACTGTGCTTCTGGCTTAGTTGCACTCTGGGAAGAGACAGGAACAATTGCCTTGCTAGGCAGCAATATATAATTCTTTTGTCTCCATTCCCTTGCTAGTCAGAAAACCCAAACAGGAACAACTTTATTTAGTCATTCTATTCAGACATGCTAGCACAGGGGTCAGGGAACTTTTTTACCTCTTACCCCCCAAAAAATTTATAAACGCAGACGTTACCCCTCCCGGCCTCTCCCCCTCCCCGGCCACCTCAGGCTGCTGACACATAATTTGGAGGTCGAGGCGGGAGGAGGTGCCCTCCCCCCCCCGCGGCTGGGAAGAAGGCGGGATAGCTCGCTCCAGGGAATGAAATGTCACCAGGCTTCCCGAGGGCTTCTGGGAATTTTCTCGGGGCCAAGGCGGCAGTTGCAGGTGCCTCTTCGCTTCCTGTGTGCCTGGCAGTGATGAGAGGCTTCGGGGAGGGAGCCGGGCTGGCTGGCTAGTTGGCAGGCAGGCAGGGCCTGGGGGCGAGGAAGCGGGAAGGGAGGATGATATTTGGGAGCCACGGTGACACAAACTGC